TCATACAAAAAACGGCCCTTTTCAGGGCCACTAAACGCTAAATTATGAAGAATTTTAAAAAGAATCAAACTCCGTATCATTTTATTTTCTGACACATACATAGTATATGACAATGGTATCATTAATGTAATAATTATTTTTCAATTAATTTACGTATTTCCATTTTGTATTAAAATTGGAGACAGATAGATTTATTGAAAAATTAGATTGAAAATTGGCATTGATCTGGAATTATTTCAATACAGGTGAGCTCATATTTCTTGTGCAAATATGTAAATACATATAATACCTGAAGATCAGAAATGACAAATGGAGGTAAAACACTTGATTAAAGCACAAATCGTCTCTTTTCCATCACATCAGTTTTTCAGAGCATTTTAATGTATTGCAAACAATTGTTGAACAATTTTTTTTATTGAATAAACTGATAACATTCGATCACTATGCTAAGATATATTTTTCATGTCTCATTTTTGAATCAAATTGAATTTTTTTTTTCATTCCATAAATTTGGTGCCAAAGACGTACATTGTACTTTTCCCTTACAGATTGGCTAATTCGAGTAATAATTTTTTGTAAATCGTAATCCCTTCCAGATAGGTGCTTGCTTTGATAAATTCATCATGTTCATGCAATAACACTGGAGTATTATTCATAGGTGAGAATCCAATCACTGGTACATTAATCTGTCAAACAAATGATTAAATGAATTGTTTTTTTAAAATGATTTTTTGATCGTACGAAAAAAAATTGCCAAAGACGATGTACTTCATACCTCACGCAAGTGTCTGCTATCAGTTGCGGCTGGTAAAATTTGCGGTTTAATTTTGAGTTGCCTAAAAAAAATGAAAGTTTTTTTTAAACTGGCATTTAATCCAAATTCAAATTATCATCATTATACAAATCATTGACGAGAACTTTCTTGAAAGCCAACCAATATTTATTGTTATCGTCAAGCTTAGTAGGTTCTATGCGTTGCAATTTTTGAATAAATTGAATTTCAATTCCATCTCCAGCTTGTTTACACCAATCGTTGATATCACGATCGAATTGTTCATAGTCGATATTCACCGACATTCTCACATCGACCGACATCATTATTTCTGGCGGTACCACATTTTGCTGAATGCCCCCATTGATCGTAGTTATATTTACGGAAGTCACATCACCAACTGTTAAATTCGGATTGTTTTCCAACCGTTGCTCTTCACTTTTGCGAAAATTTAAGAATTTATTCATCAAAAATTGGATCTTTTCAATGGCCGTGTTTTTATGGAATAAAGATGCGTGACCAGTTGATCCACGGCACCTAAATAGTATAGCTTTAATTTAAATCAAGATATGCAATTAAAATCATTTTTCGATCAAACATGAAAACATTTTCATCGGATACTCACACCAAACGAAACGTTCACCGTAGAAAATTGGAAATTCATCAGTGGGACTAGCCATGCCCTCATCAATGCAAAACCCAATGTTTAACGCTGCAAAATCACTCGTCGGAACGAATTTGGCTATTCCATTGAAGCCCCCAATCTCTTCGTCAGGCGTGAACACAACATGAATAGTTCGTTTTAAGCGAATACCATCATGTTTCAGTGCACGAATTGCTCCCAAATATTGCATTCCAACCGATTTCATGTCTTGTGAGCCACGCGCAAAAATGCGTCCTTCTCCATCGATCTCGGCTGCGAAAGGAGGATGCGACCAATATTTTTCAGTAACAGCTACCACATCCATATGCGAATTCAACATGATGGACGGTAGTTCGGGTGATGTTCCTGGCCATGTTAGAACTGGAATGGGTCGTGATGGTGAATCGGGATAATAAACTTTGGACACCAAACCTAAAGAATCAGCTTGCTGTAGAAGAAATTCAACACATGGAGCTGAAAGAAAATCAAAATTGTCAAACGATGGAAAATTGGTGAAAATTGACTTTACTTTTTTCGATCAGTTTTTGTCATTGAATCTAAATTCAGACTTACCATAATCGACATCAGGATGATCGGTGCGAATTTTCAAATATTCTTGAAAAATTTTAATTTCAGCGTTGTCGCTCCAGTTTTCTTTGTTGCAAGCCATTTCGACTGATGTATTCCAACTAAATTGACAGCAATCTAAATGTTGGTTATTTATTAGGCTCGTACTTAATTGTGTTTTAATCAATTTATTACTTATCATTTTATATCTTAAGAATGACGACAAATAATAAGCCGCCGCAACCACATACACTCAAATGAATATCACTCAGTAAGACGATGCAAGCCTTATCTTGGTACAACAGTTAAAATGTGTTTAAAGCAAAATACGATAAAGCGAAGTAAACAAAAGTGGAAAAAAATGACATATGATCACTCACAAATGGAAGTGCATCTCGTTTGTGTGTATATAAATGGGTGTTTTAATCTACGGTGCGCACAGAGTCAGCTGAGAGACGAAACCGAATGAAAACATGAGCACATCAAAACCGGATTTAATCAATTTAAACAATTCATGAATGGAAATGTACGCCGTCTTGCATACGTGATATAAAGAGCGTAATGGTGTAGGGCTGAGCTCAGTTGCTACTTGTATCTTCACGATAACACTAAACTTTTTGTTGCACTGCCATAATCGAAGCTTCGAGAAACGTCTAGTATCGACATGTCGAACAAATGGGAATCAAATGCGGAAATTCAGCGATTCCGAGAGTATTTGCGGATTCGAACAGTTCAACCGAATATAAATTACGGTAGGTACAATATTTTATTGTTGCATCAACCTGTTTTAGACTGAAAAAAGGGTGTTGAGTGATTATACTAAAATATTCTCTGTGAACAATAATGGGTATTCTGAAAGTGTTGTGATTTCAGGCGAATGCATTGAGTTTTTGAAAAAGCAAGCACGTGATCTTGACCTACCAATCGAAATTCATCATCCGTATGATGAGACCAAACCGATCGCCGTCATAACATGGCACGGAACTGACCCAACATTATCTTCGATCGTCTTGAATTCGCACATGGATGTGGTGCCTGTGTTCGAAAATCTATGGACACATCCTCCGTTTGGTGCAGATATAGATGAACAAGGCCAGATTTTTGCGCGTGGCACTCAAGACATGAAATCGGTTGGAATGCAATATTTGGGAGCAATTAAGGTATTGAAAGACAAAGGCATTCGTTTGAAGCGCACTTTTCATGTCATTTATGTACCGGGTAAGATTGCCACTTTGTTATCAAATTCAATGATGATGACAGTTCATTTTTTATCATAGATGAAGAAATTGGCGGTGATAATGGGATGAGATTGTTTGTAAAAACTGAAGCATTCCGTCGTTTGAATGTGGGTTTTGCATTGGGTAAGATTGACACTTTGTTATCAAATTCAATGATGATGACAGATCATTTTTTTTATCATAATCATTAATTTAGATGAAGGTATTGCGACACCAGATGAAGTGTTCTCCGTATTTTATGCTGAACGAAGTGTTTGGAGAGTTGATTTCATTTGCCATGGTACAACTGGCCATGGATCTTTGTTGCTTGAGAATACTGCTGGCGAGAAGTTGCGTCACATTATCGATCGTAAGTGTGGAATCGAAACGTTACGTTTAAAGCGACCAATTAGGTTGTTATTTTTCTATCTCTCAATGTTTCTTTTGAAAATTTATTGTCCTAATGATGTGTTTGCTTTTTGTTATTCGATTTTGCAGGCATGATGGACTTCCGTGCTGAGCAACAGAAAATTTTGAAAAACAACCCCGAGCTTAGCATCGGTGATGTCACGACTGTTAATTTGACCATTATAAGTGGCGGCGTTCAAAGTAATGTCGTTCCTCCATCATTGACGGCACTTTTTGATGTTCGCATAGCTGTCGACGTTGATCATGATGCCTTCGAAGCAATGGTAAATTTTATAGCAATTTAAATAATCTTTGTAATTAATCTAAATAAATCTCATGAATTTTTCTAGTACTTGCACTAAATTTGGTACATGTTGAATCCAAGGTTCATTCTTTTACTCTTTCTTTTTACTAAACAATTTTTTGTTATTTATTTTTCAGTTGAGAAATTGGTGCAAAGAAGCTGGCGGTGATATTGACATACAGTTTGTTGCAAAACGACCGAAAGTGCCGCCAACAAAAATTGATAGTAGCAACCCATTTTGGGAAGCATTCCACGAAACACTGGTCGATGATTTGTAAGTAGCATAAACAAATGTCAAACAAATTATACAGAAAAATCTAATGACTCATCACTTTTATTCGATAAATAGACATCTAAAAATTAAACCGCTTGTTTTCCCCGGTCGCACAGATAGCTGCTATATTCGTGAAGTAAGTGTATACATTTGCACAACTGTTGTTATTGTTTCGTTGATAATTTGTTTTTGTTGCTAAATGGCATTTCCTAATCTATTTTATTATTTTAAAATCTGACTTCTTTATCAGGTCGGAGTGCCAGCAATTGGCTTCTCTCCGTTGAACAATACACCAGTTTTACTGCATGATAACGATGAATTTGTATCTGCGGACGTGTATCTCACCGGCATTTCCATTTATACCAAATTGATTGAGAAAATTGGCAATCTTTGAACTAATATTCAATAGTCACACATTATTTAGTTACGAACCTCGTCGATTTGTGTATCGTTTTTATCAAACCATTATTCACATGACGCAATGTTCCTCTTGGAATTGATACAATACGAAATTTTATGCCAAAAACCAAATTGATGAGGAAAAATAATCATATGTATTTAATCTTTGAAAAATATACAATTTTCCGAATATGCATTGTTTTCTGTTGTTTCGCACACAATAGAAGAATAAATACTAGCTGCTCATCGAATCTACTATTCTTATATGGGCAAAGCAAGATTCTTTTGTTTTTTTTTCTTCTTCTATCCTTCAATTAAGATAATTCGTCCCAAAAGTAAATCGGTCGCACATTTTGTACGTTGTGTGACATGCATAGCTTGCGTGCGGCATTCAGAAAGTGATCGCACTATACATACTGTATACTAGCGAAGCATGTCATAAAACGTGTGGTAAATATACGTCTGATTGCAAATAAAAAACCACTAAACCTCAAAGATAATGAGATTTGGAAGCCGCTGTTGTGATAAAGTTATCATTGAACCTCAAATAATATTTATTGACATTTAAAGCGAAAATGAAGTGAATGTTTACTTATAGAGGGTGTCAAGCTAAAAGAGATTCAGTCGTGAACTTATTTCGGCAAAAACAACAGCTTGTAAAAAATGTCAAATAATTGGGAAAACAACGAAGAAATTCAAATACTTCGAGAGTATTTGCGTATACCAAGTGTTCATCCTGATGTCGACTATGGTAATATATTCAAATGGACTTTATTGTTTTATTCTCAAATTTCATAATTTCTTAGTAAATTTTTTTAAAAAAATATTCAAAAATCCATAGAAGAATTTTAATGTTCATTAAAAATTGAACAATCTCTTTCCCAAGAGCCATGTGTGGACTTTTTAAAGCGACAGGCCGAATCATTGAACCTAGCGTTCAATGTATATCGTTTATTCAATGAAAAATCGCCCATTGTTGTCATCAGTTGGATTGGTCGAAATTCGAGTCTGCCTTCGATCATGTTGAACTCACACATGGATGTGGTGCCTGCATATCCGGAACATTGGTCGCATCCACCATTTGCCGCTGAAATGGATGCAAATGGCAATATTTACGCGCGTGGTGCACAAGACATGAAGTCGATTGGAGTGCAATATTTGGCCGCAATTCGAGCATTGAAAAAATCGGGACAGACACTTGAACGAACATTGCACTTGACTTATGTCCCAGACGAAGAAAGGTGAGAATTTGGTTAAACATTTATTTGATTCCATTGTTTATCAATGTTATATTTATTTTATTATCAAGCGATGCAATTTATGGTATGAAACAGTTTGTACATCATGATGTCTTCAAATCATTAAACGTCGGGTTTTCACTAGACGAGGGGATGACCAATCAAAACGATATTTATCGCGTTTTCTATGGTGAACGCTCGAATTGGAGTAAGTTGAAAAAAAAATTGTATGAAAAAATGAATTGAATGAATAGAATAAGAAATTTTCATTTCCAGAGATTGTTTTCAAATGCTCTGGTCACACTGGACATGGATCGATACTGTTCCAAAACACGGCTGGTGAGAAATTGTCTTATATCACACAGAAGTTGTACGAATTCCGAAAGACACAAACGGAGAAATTGGAAAGTGATCCAAGTCTTGAAGAAGGTGATGTAACCTGCGTTAATTTGACTATTTTGAACGGTGGTGTTCAGTTCAACGTCATACCAGTTACATTCAGTGCAACTTTTGATATGCGTTTTGTGCCCGATTTCGATTTGAAAGAGTTCGAAAAACAGGTTCGTAAATTTCGAATTTTTTACAAAAATTGCAGCTTCAAATTTGCATATTGAGACCTAGATTGAGACATGTCGATTAATGAATGAAAAATTTGCAGTTGAACGATTGGTGTAATGAGGCTGGTGGTGGTATTGAAATTGAATTTTTGTACAGAGATGAAAATTCGCCGCATACAGTGACTCATCTGAATGAAGGCAATAAATATTGGATGGCAATGAAAAAAGCACTAACAGATGACTTGTAGGTTAATTCAATCATAAGTTCTGTTCTGCTTTATTTTATCATTTTTTTTTCTATTTGAAGGAATGTCAAGTTTAAAACATCCATTATGCCGGGAAATACCGATATGTGGTTCGTTCGCAGTGTAAGTCAGAGAAAAGTTTATTTGTTAAATTTAAATTAATTACAATTTCAATTATTGTATGACCATATCTTACCGAATTTCAGGTAAACATACCAGCTATCAGTATGACGCCGACAATAAACACGCTAAATCGAGAACATGAAAATGACGAATACATACCAGTTGATCAATATTTAAGAGGAATCGAAATTTACACAAAGATATTGCAGCGCATCGCAAATATTCATTAAATTGAAAAATGATACAGAAATTCAACAAAATTTGAAAAATAACCAAGTCCTTTTCCTGAAAAATAACTAAATCGCTTTGAACACGATCAAATTTTTATTGGAATAAATTCATCATCAGTTGCCTACCTTTCAGCGCATAGCTAATTGTACAACATTTGAATGTTTTGAATGAAACATATTCAGAAGAAAAAAATGAACAATTGTTTTTTCTATTAATACAGAGAGAAAAAAATCGGAGAGGTAACGACCATGTTACATTCGATTTGCACTCAATTATTTTTCACATCATAAAATAGTTTTTAATAGAGTTGATCTAAGTGCAGATTGAAGAGCACAGACACAATAGTTAAAGTATTAGCGCAAAGTGGACAAATTCGAAGACAAAACTCACCTAAAAACCATTTTTTGCATTTTTCCTAAGAACCTAGATCAAAGAAATTTCAACACTTTCAATAAAGTTTCAGCACAAAATAACAACGAAAAACTTTCAAGTTAGATCACTTTTATTTTGGTAATGTTTTAGGCCGTTGTAAAGACATTGAATTTTATTCTTGAATGATACAATTATGTATTGATTTTAGATCTTCGAACAAATTCCATATGACAGGAATATCCATCCACAGCGGTCGAAAACTTTCCGATCTGTAAAATAAACCAAAATAGAAAAAAATGGTCACTAATATCAAACTAAAAATGATTTATTTTTCGACACAATATCTATGAAAAACACTTTATCACTGAGAAACACCTACCTTAAGCCATATCCTTTCGTTCGAACGACCTTTTCAAGCCGCGTCGATGTTTGAAATAGATGAACAGCAGTATTTCCAGAATTTTGATTCCGCAAATGATGCCAAGCATAATGACTATTTCAAAACTATGCGTGTTTATCGTAGACGTGGTGTCTACGATGATATTGTTGTTCACGGGACCGGTTGAATCCACTTCCTTTGACGTTGTAGTACCCATGTTGATATCAAATACTTTTTATTGAAAATCGTTCGATTTACTTTGATTGTATTTTGAGGTATAGCAATGTAAGTGGCAAATGGGTGCGAGATCGTTCGTCGTTCGAATCTGGATCAATACTGAATACTGCTAAATAAATGCTGCAATTTTTAGTTCGATTTACTCCAGACGCTGAATCATTTTGTAGAATGGAAACTTTCGTTAAAGCATTTACAACTGCACTGTTCAACATTCGCAATGTAAACTGTTTCAAGAAAGTGCCAATTTTACAAAATGATAAATCGATATAGGGCATCTTATAGCTATATCACAGCTGACGATAGTTTACATGAGTGACGAAAGTCAACGAAAAGGAAAAATATGACTAACATTTTTTTCAATATTTTGCCAGACGTTGTTTACTGTTTAAAAATAATATCAGCGAGACGAAAAGAGGAGTTGCACGACACGTGATCATGAGGATTATTGATATAACGAACAGTATTGACCTGCGTTTTATGATTTATTCTGGAAAAGAATTCAATTTACTTATTCGTTTATGGATGTATTTGATGGCCAAAGGAAATGAAGGCGCCTTTGAAATTTCAAATCTGGCCAGAACCGAAAACTACATAACCATTAGGCTCACGACAAAAATGCACAGGACAACTATACATTACTTTAAATTTGCAGAAAAAATCAATCCAAATTGAAACTCATTTAGAGCAACAATAGTCAGTTTGACATCAATTTTATCAGTTCTGAATCATCAGACGGATTTCAGCATGAGCTCGAAGTTTCGATGGAAAATTTGCGTAAACAAAGGTCATTCTTTTTTTCGAATTCAGAGAACAAACTGATGTTGTGTACGAAATGCAGTTTTGCCGAATCACAGTTTTCGAATGAATTCAATAAGAAAATAACAAGTCTTTTCTCTTCGATTTCTTGTTCAAATAGATATCTAAGCCTCATCAATTTTCAAAAGTCAGTATGTTTTGAGGTTCATCAACATTCAGTACAAACATACATTAATTACATAAACATTGTGGTGCAAACTTCGATAATGATTATTTCTGATATATACTTTTCGGTCTGCTAATCAGCTGTCGCGCTATCCACGACGCCTCAATAAATAATAAGTCAGATAAACACTTGAAGTGGTCATAAATTGTTTGGTACAGTTGGAAAAGGACTACATAGGTTTCAATGATATCACATGAATCAAGTGTTATCAATCTTGTCCAGAGTAAATATTTTTCTTTCACAAAAATCTCCCCTCTCTCTACACTTCTTTCGTTTTATCAAATGCCAAATGCCTTCTCACAAACAATCCCAATGGAAACTGTTGTATCAAAAAATCACCGCCTATTGCCATTTGGTCACTTAGTGTAATGTTATGAAGTTTTTGAAATGACTCACCTAACTTAGCCGACCTTCTGATCTGTTTAATGGGATGAAGAGATAAGAAATGATGACTGCAATTTCGGGAAAATCGAAAAAAATGAGTATGCCATTGGCTATGCAATAAATCAAAGTTTCTACTAAAAACTCTGAAATGCCAAAATTCCATAGATAAAACCATCTGTTTTTTTTTTACATTTTCTGCAATATTTGTTTATTTTCGTTAAAATTTTTGTTTCAGACGTTATCATTAATAATAATTACACATTTCCATTGTTCGGATGATAAAACTAAATTAAACGCTATCATTTATTGATTAGATTCGGATTCGCGATTATGATTAATACACACGGCGTGCTAATTGTGCTTAAAATCGATTGTTCTGATTTGATCGATATACATGTAATATGTTATGGTTATGACATTACAATTAAGTAGCTACATCGCACTGGTTTCGGTTAGCAAATGTGAATTGATTTACGAGAATTGTTGCTTTGTTTTTAGTTTGTATTTAATAAAATAAATGCAAAAATTGAAATGTGTTTATATTTTGTTGTTATTGTAGAATTCCATTTGTAACAGAAATGAGATATGACATCGAAGCGTTGATTAAACTGAAAAAATGAATAATAGAGTCATTTGTTTATAGTTAGCCGTAAAAGCTGCACGGTGTAATCAGAAAGTCAATTTAAATCTCATACATCTATTCAATAAATTCTTATTTTCTAAATTCCTAAATTTATGACATTTTTGTTCTCATGCAATTTAATTTATATGTGTGTGTTTGTTTGTTCTTTGTGGTTGTAAATTTTTACTAAATATTCTACAAATTTTTCATAATATTTTTGTTTGTTAAATCAGTAACAGAGTTTGTTACATCGAGAAACACGTTCAAGTAAATATATTCAGTCGAGTTTTACACAACATACAAAATAGAATATTCATATAGTGGTTAAACAAAGAAATAATTTTGCTAAAAAAAAATCGAAACGACGCAAATTTTTGGACTAAAAAATTATAAAACCGAATATTTTGCTATATTCATAAATATACACAAAAAGATAGAATAATTGAAAAAAACGCACATAACGAAATGAACATAAATGTTTTCAATCTTAAACGTTTAAAATAGGCAGTTTCGTGTGTTGATAAGTCGTCAAAATTAAAATTAAAAATAAATTCTATCTAAATTACACAATATATACAAATTGATCAAAAAATCTGCCGCAGTGATGGAGCGCACATAACGGGGAGGCAAATCATAATAATTGATCGAAATATTCCATAGTTTTTGTTTTAATTGACTATTTGAATGAGAGAGAGAGAGAAAAAGCGCAATAAACCTAGTTTCTTTCTTTCTTCTGAATCATTGTTTCTTAACATTGACCTAACTTTAAATTTCGTTTTGTTAGTTATCACACAACATAAAAAGTCATTTTCACACACATGTTCAATAATTGCCCTAAGAATCGGATTCAGCCGCGCGATTGCAATTTTTTTTGATGCGATAGCCACCGTTTGAGCAAATTTCATCCGTTTTTCTACACTATTCGTCGTAGCTTCTAGACACCACAAAATTTCTTAAGGGGGCGAGATTTTAGTATTCTTTTTGATTGTCTATTGAGATCCAGATTTTGTGTGTGCGCGCCTTATTATTGATCGATGTGCGTTGTTGCTTTTGTTTTAGAAAACAGTCGACGTTTCTATCTCTACTTTATCTAAGTCGTTCAGTGAAAATCAGACAAACGACGAAAAACCAGGTAGTGGCGCCCGCGACCTTGCCATATTATTGACTATAATTTGGCCACCGTTTAAGCTCATTACACCGCTACCCTCTGGCTCTGAATCCGTGTAACTCGAATAGTTTCGCACCGGTTTCTGTCGTTTCCATGACTGACGCAGCGTATCGTTCACATTCGCATAGTGATTCACAAACGAATGCGGATCGGATCGAACGCTCTCATTTTCACTCTCGGAGTTCTGTTGTTTGGGAGGAAATTGGAAGAAATTAGTTTTGATATTCATCTCATTCATTTTATAAATGACAACGACATCGAAAAGCAAGACAGAATATGAAAAGAAAATGGAATTAGAAAAGAAAAAAGCGAAAAATGCCAGAATTTCAATTACCTGTGAATCACTTGAGCTCACTTCGGACGGTTTTTCTGTAACGCTGCTGTCATCTGGATTCTCATCATAACATTTGAGACTCTCTTCATCACTGTGATAAGCGACTGAAGCTGGCGATGGTCTCGGTGGCGATTTGCCTAGCGCAGCAGCTGCAGCCGGTTGAGTCGTTGGCTTGCGTCCCATCGTTCGGCGAATTGTACCGCCATTCACCGAGAGTGTACCATTGCCCATGCCATGTCGTGATCGATACAGTTCTAAGGCCAGTTCTTGCCGATCATCAATTGACATGGCCATCGATTCTTCTAGTGTCTTCTGTGCCTCTTCTGTTGTATCGAAAGAAATTCAATTATTTTCTAGACTTTCTTAAATAAAAATGGGCAAAAAACAAAATGCTCAAAACTAAAAATCAAGTAACTTACGTTTATATTTATAGCTCTTGCTCTTGACACACAAAACGGCCACAATCATAATGATAATGATAATGGATGTAGCTGCTAGTGATACCATGAACCACTGTTGCCGGTAAAATGGTTTATGTTGTAAGTACCCATATTCCAAATACAGTTTTGATGGCGTTAAAATTGGGTCCTTCGAATAAACTGGATACGAAATGCCATACATATTGTACGATATAACGCGGAATGAGTAAACTGTTGATGGCAGCAATGTTTGATAGCTAACGGTAAATTCTTGCATCGATCCGCCCGTTGTACGTGAAACAGTTTCCCATCGTGTGTCATCTGGTTGAAAATAAAATTAACATTAAAATCATTTCTGTTTTATAATTCATTAAAACAACACAATCGTGTAAAATGAAGTGTAGTAAAAGAGAAAACCACATAAAAAAAACACCACGAAAAAGAGATGTTTTATGGCTGAATAAATTGCGAATGTTTATGCACTGAACATCAATATGGCTTATTGATTGATGTAAGCGGTGTAAGTAATAAAAACCCAAGTAAACAAACGGGCTGATGGAATCGCAGCTGTTTTACATCAAAAATAACAAATGAAAGCACACACAATTTATTCACGCCATGGCACACATCTCTTTTCCACAGTTAATGCAAATAAACCGTTCACAAATGAAATTCGCCTGATTTTCGCAAAATGAGCCATGAATTGAGTGCAAATTTGGATTTTTTCTCACAAAAAATAAAATTAAATGAAAATGTAATAATTTTTATTAGATCGTATGTCTGAATACGTTTTTATGTTTTTTGGAAGGTGGTGCATTCATCACGAGAAACGAACAAATAAAACAAAAATGAAATGACATTGTAAACACACACACACAAAATGAAGAGTGATCAAACATGTGTTTATGGATTGCATTCGTATTGTTTGTTGTTCTGTTACTTACAAATCAAATTTTGATCTCTTTCTGTTTGTTTGCGTGGTGGAAACGGAGAAAATTTGTAGAAATTCATTTTAAATTTATTTGGTAAAAAATTTCCTTTTTAAAAAGTTTGGATATTTTTTTTAAATTCTATTTTATATGAAATCAAATGTTCAATTTACCTCTTTTCTTTGTTTCAATGTAGTAGCCCAAGATTGGCCCTTTGCCCGATGGACCATTTTTCCAGTGCAATTCGACGCTCGACACAGTTTTGGTTAGCAGAAGATCGCGTAACGCGGCCGGTGATCCTTCTTGTGGTCCAGTTGTTACGTTTCCGACGATTGGTGGACCGTAGTCGATTGTTTGTGCACGCACGGTAAAGGTGTATGTGACTTCTTCTTCGAGATTTTGCACCAATAGACTCGTTCCACTCACTTTTTGTTTGACTTGTTTGCTGAATTCTGTTATTTTGAGATGTAAATTTTTTAATTTCATTCGTTAGAAATTCAAACTTTCAAAAATATAAAATGCAAATGACTTACTGTCGTTCTCTTCGGTAGTTTCATAAGTAACAATGTATCCCAAGATTTCACCGTTTTTCCTTTTCGGAGCATTCCATGATACACGCAAGCTATGCATCGTGATATCAGTAAAGTTAAGAGTGCTTGGAGGTCCAGGCAAACCTTGTAGAGTTTTAACGGTGATTGGAATTGATCTGGGACCATCGCCAGCAGCATTGAACGCAAGCAATTGCACACGGTATTCGGTGTATTTGTCCAAAAATACTAAACTATGAGCATTTGATGAGGCTGGTACAACTTCGATTTCTTCCTCATACTTTCGTCCTTCTTCCAATTCTTGGGGTGAATCAGTCACCAGATAGAAGATTTTATAGCCAAGCAGATCGCCGTTTTGTTTTTGCTCCGTTGGAGGTTTCCAACGTAGTCGAACTTCAGTGGCTGATACAGCGGCACCTTCCACACTTCGAGGTTCGCCTGAAAAATGGAATTGAATTAGTTTTAGTACAATTGAAAAAAGAACTAATGAAAAAAGAAGCCATTCTCATTGACATCAATGTCACTTTTTCGCACAAAATACTCTTTTCATTGCGAGTAATTGGAAAAAAAATCTTCTGTACTCACCCAATGGAACGGCTTCGCCAACATAAACGGCAACTGGTGGTGATGGTGGACCTTCTCCTTGTGAATTAAATGGCATCACAATAATTTCGTAATTTCTATCCTGTGTCAAATCTGATAAAACCATACTATTCGACGCGATTCCCATGACTTCTTGTTTGGGTGTTGCTTGCAAAGCGGTTGGAAAATCGGAAATCGGTTGGAATAGAATTCGATAGCCTCCGGTTGTTGCGTCACCATTCCAATATGAATGTTCAAGTGAGTTCCATTGAACACGAACACTTGTCGTTGTAATGGGCACAACTTTCAATCCATGAACACCTTGCGAGGGAGCAGCAGGCAGAGTACGTACTTCGATACTTTCGCGACTAAATGCACTGGGTCCTAAATCGTTTGTAGCTTGAATGCGGAACTGATAAGTAGTGTGTGGCTTCAGACCAGTGGCTGTGAATGACGTAATGGCTGGATCAACTCTTTCGGAAAGTGAAATCCATGGGCCTTCATTCTCACGTAATTGCACCGTGTAATAACGAAGTGGAGCAAATCCATCTCGTCCCGGTGTCCAACTAAATGTGATTTGATGTGCTTGAACTTGACTTCTTGAAATTTGTGGCGACGACGGTGCTTGTGGTCTCTCGCGATTATTTGTGGTGTACACGAGTACTGAACATGTTTTACCCCAACCGAGACGAGTTTGAGCTGTGACACTGAAAATATAATACCGTTCCGAATGCAAGTTCGTTGCTCGGAATGTTCTTTCATGTGGCGGAAATTCACGACTATAATTCAAATTGGTCGATCCATTAATCGAATAAGTGACCCGGTATGCAAGAATTTCGCCGTTTGGCTCTTCGGGCACATCCCAAATGATACGCGCCGTTGTTAGTGAAACATCCGGGAATGAAACATTTGATGGTGCACCAGGAGTATCTTCAAATGTTTGAGCACGAACTGGTGGCGTTGACAATGTTCCGTCACCTAATCGAGTGTAGGCAAGCACTTGAATGTGATAAGCCACAAACTTTTTCAACTCAGTTAATGTGGTTGTGTATGTGTTATTATTCGCAATCGTCTTATGTAGAACTGGTCCACGGCTTGCGGCACCATAGAAGACTTTGTAACCTTCGATTTGACCGTTACGATGTTCTTTCTGAACTTCACCCCATCGCACAACGATTGTGGTGGACGAAGTTGTATTGGCTTCAACATTGATTGGTCCAACCGATGGCACTGATTCACGTGTACGTTCCAAAGCTGGTGGGCTGTCTTTTGAATTTCCAACATCGTTGCATGCATTCATTATAACTTCATAAACAGCATACTCTTCCAAATTGTCCAGCACATGTGAATTTGCGGTATGGTCTTCAATTAATGCACTCAAAACCGATGATGCCGATCCATTTTCAACGTTTCTGTAGGTAATATTATATCCACGAGGATTGCCAAACCATTCACTCTGCTGCAATGGGATCCATCGAACGCGAAGCTCAGTTGCGCTCATCGCACGAACGGTGACATTAAGTGGTGGGTGCATTGGACGCGCTTGAATCGTTTGAAAGTCTTTCGTTGGTTCCGACGGTTCTGATGGGCCAACCACATTTGTGGCTATCAATCGCAAGCGATACGATGTAAATGGCATCAATCCAGTAACGGTCAATGTTGATGCATCGGGATCGGAAATCTCGTAAATTGTAAACCATGTCAAATTGCGTGCGGTTTGCGCTTCGACAGTCCATTTGGTGATTGATGAATTACCATCAAAACTTGGAGTGAATTGCAACACCACGGAAAATGCTTCGATATTTGATAGAGCGAGTTGTGTTGGCGGTGATGGCAAAACTGGTTCAACGCCCGATTGCATAGTTGCTGTTTTTGGTGCTCCTGCGCCAACTTTTGTCACGGCATTCACTTCGAATAGGTATCGTGTAGTTGCTACCAGTTTAGTTACTTTTAAGCTTGTCTCTTTGGCTGTTAAATTCACCATTTTCATTGTGCTTGGATCGTCCTTAACATGATATTTCACTTGATATCCCGTCAAAATGCCATTGGCTGCCTTCGGTGGTGACCACAGCACTTTGACTGCACGATCAGAAACTTCATCAAATTGCAACGAGGCCACTTCACCTGGAACATCCTCTTTTGTCTTTACATAAACCGATTCACTGCGAACACCATCACCTGGATCGGTGAAACAGAGCACCGTTATATTGTATTCAGTATACTTCTCCAATCCAGACATTATGGTGCTTTGTTCGGCCAACGGATCGATTAAACTCGGTGGAACGGTGATCATTTTTGCTTCGGATTCCATTTCCTCACCGTCGGCAATATTGTAAAGCCATGCTTGCAGCTTGTACCCTTGATTGATGCCGTTGATTTGTTGTGGATTTGGTGGTGTCCACCAAACTTTAATGGCTGTTGAATTTAACGGTTTGACTCGTACATTGGTTGGTGGTGCCTCTGGAATGCCTTCTTTTGTTTTAATCTTTGCACCGTCGGTGAATACTCCGACGCCCATGTTATTGAAAGCGGCAATTTGTACAATATAATCTTTCCATGTGATCAACTCTTGAATCAAATAGTTTCGTTGAGCTTCGTTCGTTATATTTTGAATGGTCCAAGGGCTGTCATTGTATCCATACAGTCGATATCTTATGATGTAGCCGAGAATTTGACCATTTCTGAAGAAGAGATAAATTTAGATGTTTATTTTCAGAATAAAAGCCAATCCAGTCTCTGTTTTAAACCTTAATCACTTAAGATGTTTATTATTATGAATATTGGAGTGGCTAATTATTGACATTCTCACCTGTGCTCTTCGAGTGGAGGTTGCCATTGGGTGATAATTTCCGATGAAGAACGTGCTGACCCAACGAATCCAACTGGCGGACCAGATGGTGCTACATTTACCCAATAAACATATTAATTATATTGATTCCATTAATTTTAGCTCAATTTTTTTTAAAGTTTTACCTTCTTGTGGTAAACGAATAACGTTGCTCGGTTCACTTGGCGGTCCTTCGCCAACACTATTTACTGCACTCACTCGAAACTGGTATACAGATGCTGCTTTCAAATTTCGCAATAAAATCCATCGTTGATTGGACGACACGTTGCTGAGTTCGGTGATCCAATTTAATAGCGGATCAGGTATTGGACCTATAAATTCTTCTTTTAATGTATGATTGTTCACCGAAAATTGTGCGTGTGTGTGTGTGTATGCGAGTGCATAATTTTTGTGGTTTTTTTTTGTAGGTGCACATAAAATGAAAATAATAAAATAATAAACAATTGTTTGTTGGTGAAATTAACATAAAATCCAACTTAATCAAATTAACAACTAATTGAATTATACCAAATGAATTTTTCAACAGAAAACTAATAAAAATTTATCGAATTTAAACTAAAATTCAACTAAACTAAAAGCAAACTAATCAAAAAGTCCATTTGCATCGCAAATTGTGTGTGTGTGTGTGCTTGTGTGACTTGTGTTGATATTTACCTAGTTCGGGTACTTCGCGTCGTTGAATAATGAATTTTAAAATTGGACTATTTCCATCGAATCCGGCCGTCCAGGACACATTTATCGAGCGATAAGTTTGCGTATCGTAACGAATGGCTTTCACATTTGTCGGTGGGAACGGCAATTCGATCACAGACAATCGAGCCGAACGTGTTTCATTTCCACCCGGCGATGTAACCTTTGTTAATGGAAGTGAAAATCCATTATAAGTCAAATATTACAGAATTGAGCAGAAACATGCATTTTGATTTGAATATTTGAAGGTTTTTCCTCGAAGCAAAAATGTCAAATTGAAACTATAATCCTACTGAAATAGACTAACGAACATACCATGCATGAATAAACACCAACGTCTGATGCTCGAACGGCTTGAATTTCCAATGTTCCATCCGCTTGTACGCCAACTCGTTGACTATTCATAATTGGTGCTGGTTGTCCATCACGATACCAATCAATATTGAACGGGACTGATGGATCACTTGATACTCGGCATTGTAGCGTTGCAGTCAAACCCAAAAGTACACGAGTGTCAGCGGGCGGTTGAACGATTTGTGTGCGAACTGAAGTTTTTAAAAAAAATCATATTTAATGAAACGGTGGTTTTTTAATTGTGGTTTTATCAATAGTACAACATACCCATAACACCAAGATATGCTTGTCCCGTCACTGAACCGGCTTCATTTGACCGAATACAGTTATACCAACCGGCATCACTCTCGCGCACATTCGATATCAACAAATCACCATTTTCGAGCACTTGAACTCGTCCTGTTAACTCAACCGGAGTCGTATCTAAGCCAAAAATAAACACATTAAATTTTTCATCACTTTCAAAAGAGCATTAAATCACAACTCACCATTATAAGTCCATGTCACGTTCGGTTGCGGTGCACCGACCGCACGGCACACAATTGTTGCATCCTTGCCATCCAAAATGGTGATATTTTTTGGTGATTGTTCCATGATCGGTGTTGATGCTAATTCAAAAACCAAAAGAAAAAAAAAAAATAAATAAATTAGATTCAAATTGAAAATGCAAACAAATATTTGTCCCCAATGCAATGTTTCAAACGTGCTGAATTCATTGAATATTCATTAAAGTGTGCCATTGATAGTGTGACACGAAAGTGTAGAGTTCAACATACAATACCATTTATAAATACAAGTTTATTTCAATGATGGAGTGTATTATGTGCATGTTCGTGTTAAAAAAAGCAATAAATATCGCATCTATTTTTGGTATGTGTGCGGTTAGCAAGTGATAGATTCATAACGGCAATTTAATATGCGAAAAGTAAATATTAAAATTAACAATAACAATAACAACAATAATAATAACAATACACCGAAATAAATTGGTACGAAAGTGGTTGCATGCCAAAATATTATGTTTAGCGGATTGACAGTTTTACTTGTGTGTCTCTGTGTGTATGTTTATAGAGTAGCTCAGCTGAATGTTTTCAGCAGCCCGATATTTTTTGAAGTTTCGTGCCTGTGTGCTTTGTGGTGAGTTTGTCAAAGTGTATGCGATTTGTTATGAATTTTCGAGCTTAACGTGTGACTATGTATGTGTGTAAACCTAAACATAACACCGATGTTTTTGGACGAGAATAAAACGCAAATAAATTTATTCACATCGGAGATCGGCAAAGGAATTGCGTGCAAATGGTATAAAATTGGTTTCAAATTCGGTCATATTGAGCCGTTCAACTTGTCACAATATTATGTTTTGTGTTGTTTTTCATTGTTCTCTCTTTATTATTAAATTCTGAAACTGAAACAGTTCAATGGGAAATGAAACCGATATATGGGATCCAATGCCTCCCCCCCCTCTCTCTCTCTCTCTCTCTCTCTCTCTGTGTGTGTGTGTGTGTGTGTGTGTGTGTCTGTGCTGGAAAATACCATTCAATTGGAATGAAATGCGTTTTTCGGTATTTCAAAACACACCAACAACCGAAACCATTCAAAATACATTGAGCACCAAATTACGGACGAAGAAAATTAATTTTTCGTTTCGAGAATTATTTGGTCACTGTGCGGAACTTTCAATAGCAATTACGAGTTACGTTCGTTTAAATCCATCGGTTCAAATACAAACTGTAATAAATCAATGTGGATCCCTTTGGGAATGCGGTATATCGACTCGACTCGAAATGACTCAATGCAAACGCAAACTTTGCACTTTTCCAACTATTATTTGAATCACTGCCTGTAATGCATGTTGGTAACGAGAACTTGGTTCTGTGCACAAGTTTTACATTTGCCCAAAGATCATTTGAATTTTCACCTTAAGTGACTTTTGATGTATGTAAAGTAGCTTGTGTGTGTGGTTGTGGTTTTGGTTGTGTGCATACTTTTGTTTTCAAAAAGTGCCATACGACGCGCGCGGTGAGCATATATATATATATTGGACGATTGAGAAAACAGAAAGTGCTGGCGGCATTTCATGACTCGCAATAACTTTCTTGCAGCCCATTAAAACTGGATTAATGCGAAATGCAAAATTGAACCATCAGGCAACGATAGTATAAAGCAAAACCGCACGCAAATAAGCACCAAGTCGTTTGATTACGCAATTATTGGAAATTTGCTTTCGGTTTTATGTTCAATCGTGTTCTTTGCCACTACACCATCTCATTTACTCAGAGTTGATGTATTGTAAATTCTAACGGGCCAATGGTATTCATTATTGAAAATAACCGGATTCATTTCGATTCTGCTTTCGCGCACTGTGGCTACTTCTTAGGCGTTACGAGATGGTAGCGATATAATTTATATAAGTCTAAACTGACAGATTGAGCAATGATCCGACTGCGTCATCGTGGATCGTTACGATATAGAAATCTATTGCCGTGTGATTTCCACATGGTTATTATGCTAAAAACAATGAACTTGAGCTGATTTAATGTGACAAAAGACACCAAACAAAGACTTCTTTTGTATTGATGTTTGAAGCCGTACAAAGAAACCGTTGTCACTATAACTAGAAAGATTCAGGCAAGGTGTTGTTATTCAATTCACAGTTTTATCTATTGTAATGTCAAAATGTAACCGAAAAACAATTGGTTTTTTTTTCGTCTCCCTCGGGTAAGTGATTTTCGGTCATTTGTCTATTGGAAATCATTTGAAAGAAGAAAAAAAAATCGGCGCTCCAAAAATAGGTCGCGTTAAATGCATGACATTTAGAAAAGTTAAAGTGACTTTGGCTAGCATTGGCATGGTAGGTTAATTGCGACCCAGAAATAAGCGATAATTATTTTCGTTTGCGACTGAGAGAGTGAGATGAGGAGATGCAAAAGTCGGGATAGTTTCAACAGTGAGACAAAAACCGATTTGTTTGGTGTTGGATCACACAAAAGAGAAATTCGCCCTCCCCCCCGAAATACACAGCATGCGATGCATCTCAAATTCCCACATATGTCTTTCGTGTGTAACACCATATATGTACGTATCTCTCTCAATGCACTATGGCTGTTTTGTTCGAATTCAATTTCGAGTTGACGGCATTTTTTTCTCCAACCCAGGAAAAATGTATAAAGAAGAACAGAAACAACGACGACGACGACGACGACGACGACGACGACGACACAAAAATGCAATTGTTTGCAATCCAACACTTTATAAGTTCGGCAAAAGCGCGTGCAATTCTCATCTGGCAGCTGTTAACCGTAAGCATGTTGAAGCTGTTTCATTTGTTTCTCTAGCTATTTCGCCTCGCTCGCTGGCTGGGTGTTGGACGATAAGGTCGCCAACGCAACACGAAACTGACAACAAAACAAATGCAATCGGATTAATGGTAATAATGGCAGGCGAGAAAAAAGAACGGGCACACACACACACACACACAAGAAAACAATTGTCAGAGAGTTTGCATGCGAGGCAAAACGATGAATGAGACAAATGTAAACAACAATTTCACTGCAAATCAAAACGTACGAAAGCGAAATGGCAGAAAAAGAAAATGAGCTTACACGGGTGAAGTGCAAACAGACGGAACCGAAGAGAAAAATGGACACTGTTGGATTTTTATCGAGACAAAGCAAGAGAATGCACACAACGGAAATTGAACGGCGGTGGCAGCAGCAGTAGCAATGACAGTAGCAGCAACAGCAGAGAATTGCCATTCACAATCGCACGTGCAAAGCAAAAAAAAAGAAGAAGCAAGAAACAAGTGCCTGGGAAAAAGAAAGACATCACTAAATATGTTTCCACATTTCATTCCATTTCTGGTAGCTGCCCGACCAACTTGATGCAAAGGATTTATACACACACACACGCTTGGTCGCTCGCCCAGCTTGGAGAATGACAAACTGAAAAATACAATCAACTGAAACAAAAGCCAACTTTTCAAATTATGTACAGCGAATACACAGTGCATTAAATCATTCGTTTAATCTGGAAAGTGCGACAAAAAGTGATGTGAAATTTAATTAAAGACAGAATATACACACAGAAAAAGCAGTGATCGTAATGAGTGCGATTATGAACAATAGATTAGTGGTAGTGTGTATGTGCAAATGAAATGCGTTGTGAAAATGGAATAAATATTGAGTGAATTTTAACATTGAATGCAAAAATAAAATGTTGCAACTATCTAATTATGGAGATTAAGATAAAATGTGATGCAGCGAAATAAAAGGAATGTGCTATCTCTTCCTCTGGTGCTATTTCATGCATTGACATTTTTGATTGACATTTAGTATCTTACAGCCCGGCAAAGTGGTTGAATCAAAGCGAAATCCTTTGAGTTTCCGATTTTTAGTGGTTACTTCGTGACCCGTTCCAGATAAAGTAGCGGAATCATATGAAATGGATGACAACGAAGATTTGGATGCGGTGGCTGACGACGATGCTCGCACACGTATAATGCGCGGCTGAGCAAAACGTTTCTTTCGATTTCGTATAATTCCATTACTATCGACTGTTAGATGATTAGTGGACAACTCATTGATACTGGCGTTGTTATCGACAAACGCACCCTTGTCTATAGTCAGCATTTTAATTTAATACACAAGTTAATAGAAATGTCATGGTTAATGTTATGGACTTGAAAAATCCCATGAGAGTAAATTATTGACCAAAAAAAAGTTAGTGCATTTTAATTTTGCGAATTTTCCAATTTGAATCCCGAAAAAATGAGGCTAAATTCAGTGCCAATTGTTAATTTTCCAGGTTTTTCTTAATTATAAGGTTTATTAGATTATAGTATGATGCCGGAATGTTTTTACATACTTTTTACACGAAGCCAAGTGTATGATGATTTTTCGCCAGCATCATTCGAGGCAAGACATTGAAACATCGCCGAATCGTCCATCGATAGTTTTTTAATCACCAATGAGTTATCTTCTTGAACGATGTATCTATAATTTAAAATTTAGATATGATTAACCAGTTCTGAAACAACACAATTATTTTTCAATTTGACTTGAAATTAGAAGTGTATTCAATTAGCAGAGACATTTATTCCAATTCCATTCTAATTCAAGAATTTTTTTAGTTTTTTTATTCTCAATAATAAGAAATCGATTAATCCTTACCGTTCGCTGGTCATGTCCAATGCATCGGCATTTCTAAACCATGTAACATGTGGCGTTGGTTCGCCAATTACATCGCAAGGAATCACCAAAGTAGACCCATACTCGCCCAGTGTTTCCGTACGCAGTGGTGAGAAAAAGGTTGGTGGCTCTTGCACCGTAACTGTAGCCGTCGATGTAACTGTGGGAAAACCGCCACTACGCAATCGAACCTGGCAGGTATATTGGCCAGTATGGGTTAAATTTGCTGTCAACAAAGCCAGAGTTCGGTTCCATGGGTCGTCCAATGTGTGTGCAATTCCAGTATTTTCGATTAGAATGCCGTCTTTCAGCCAAAGTGTTTCGAGTTCGTGCAGCGGTCGTGCATTGGCAATGCATTGCAACTGTGACACTTCTTCACCACGAACCAATCGAAGATTGGAAGGATGCACAATAATTTCCGGTGCAATTTCTCCATCATATGAATCACTGCCGCTGACATTTAAGTGAATGAAAGCGCTATTTTCCTCTTTGCCAAGTTGCGTATTGATTGCACGTGCTCGATAGGATTTCGCATCGGATTCGTCCACACTCAAAATGATCAATTGATTTTTCAACGTTTCCGCATATTTTATATCGAATTTCAATTGATGCTCTTCGTCTTGCCATGTCACCGACGGTGGTGGTATCGATTCAATTGGTGGCAAATCCAAAATCGCAGGATGACCTGACTCCACCGATACACGTCGTTCTGTTATATCTTCGAAATTTCCCATGTCTACAAATAATAAATATTAGAGAGAAAAACATATTAGACGAAGAAAAAAACACCAAACACATGAACAAACAACCCATTCGTCGTTTTTAATTCGTATTTTATGTTTCCAACGAATTAATACCACAGTCATAACCTGCGAAAACCTTCATTTTCTGTTGACATGCAACGCACTCGTTTTGAGTGTTTATATTTATTGCTCAGCTAATTTCAGATTGGGTGGTGTATATTAGATGTGTTACTTACATGCAACGACTACATCAATTTTTTCACTAAATATCGTTCCAGCATCGTTTCGTGCCATGCACTGATAAGAGCCAGCATCATCACGTCTCGTATTGGGTATACGATAATATTGACCCGTTGAGAAATCGGTCACTGGAATTCCATCTTTAAGCCATCGATACATCGGCTGTGGATAACCTAATTTTTTGGAGAACAAAGAGAAGAAAAACAACGGTTTAGCCACACAGAAAATAGAAAGAAAAAATATAATGATTTTCGGAAATTTCATTAATAAATTGCTACTGTTTAAAAATCATCAAGTCAACCGTACAAAGTGTTCTAGAATCATGATGCTTCATTTGCTTTGGTTTCTGCTTTTTTCTTTGTTTTTTTTCTCTACTCTTGCTTCAGTGTTTCGTTGAGCTGTGATTCAACGGAAAGACAATTCCAGCGATCTTCTTCGCTGAGAGTGAACGGATCGAGCTACTAAATTGTTTTCATTTCAGCTACTGACATCTCAATGCCATTGTTACTTCACATTATTCGATCAAATCGACCGGAACGAATTCATTCGCAAGCGTCGGTTGAGACTTCGTGTGGAATTTAGTTTTTTTCTTCTGCAAAAATTTTCTCCGGATGGCATTTGAGCGAACCTTTCAGAATTCAATAGGAAATGTTAACGTTTGGTGTGCACGTCATTTTATCGTTTTCGTTCGCTCAGTTGGTCGTCAAATCGGCAATTTTCTATCGGTTTGTTTGACAGTGATTTCACAACAAAGTCACGATTTGTTGTTTTTGTCTGTGTATATATGTTCCATCCATCGCGAGTCGCAAATGCGAGCGAGCGCGGTGAAATACAGGCAAAACAGATTAAACGTCTCTTTTTCTTGGCATTTTATTCTATGAAATCGAATGGGTTACAACTCAGCACATTATGTACTTTCGCTGCCGTGACTTCCTCGAAATGTAAACAAAACCGCTGAAGTTCAGAGAGGAAAAAAATATCAAATCTTCGAGGCGCTTAGACTTGAAAACATTGAAATGCGCCGTGTCAACGGTCGAACAATCATCACATCTTTGCATCACTCAGTCGTGTACCGTCACACTTTGCATCGTAACAAGACAACACGCGGTCATTCTTTTCTTTCAGGCGATCTTTTTGAGCCAGTCGTCATCATCGTTACTTTGACCCGAAACAAAAAAAAACATACAAATCACACATTTGTGTTTCATTTTTCGATTCTATTTGTTATTGTTTTTTCAATCAGTGGTCGAAGGGCGAACGCGATTCATATGTGTATTATCATACCAAAAAAATACATGTGGCCAGTGATTTTTATTCGTTTTTTTTTATTCCTTTTCTTTCTAGTGCATATCGAATCAAGTGAGCGTGACGCGGTTGCTTTGCTGCTCTCGCGTACCAAAAATGATGATACATGACTAGAATAAAAGAAGAAACTTTTCGAGATGTGTTGCTGCTTTTTTTCTTTCTTTCTCTCGTCGAGTTTTTCAGTAAGTTCTGTGAATTTGTGGCTGGAGTTTCTGAATCGATTCTTTTGTTGCTTTTGTTCTTTCTCTCTGGCTCTCGTATTTTCGATTATCATCATATGAAACGTGTGCATTGAGCGTATGACGTCCAAACCATCGGCTTGAGTAATCGTTGGGTGTGTGTGTATGTATTTATGTTGTGTTTTTTCTGTTAATTTAGTTCACTTTTTCGCTCATTTTCCTAAGATAATCAAGAATTCGTTCATTTTCATTCGTTTGAGTAAACGAACGATTTAAATGAGAAAAAGAAACCATTTTCGGTGAAGAAAAGCGCTTGATAAAAAAAACGCGCATAATGAATTGGAAAATAATGAAGATGAATAACAAAAGAAACATTTGTCCGTGTTAAAAGTGTAAACAATTTTACAGAGGCACACGCAACCAAGTAAATGTGGTTCTTTCAACACAAAACCAACTCATTCTCAAAATTCGATTTTGTTCGGATCGACGGGCATATGATTACGGTGTGTCTTCCGCAAAATTCAATAACATAATCGCAATGATGATGGAAAATTGTAGTCAAAGAGAATTGTTCGTTGTATTTTTTTCTACTTCTCTCGGTTGTTCAATCTTCCGCACGCATGTTTGTTTCTCTCCCATTTTATGGCCCGTGTAATTTCTCCTGTGATAATGATGTTAAAGTTTTGCCAACGAAAATTACACAGTCAAACACAAAAACGCCATTAAAAATTTCTCGCTGGCTTTTAACCTATCGTCGACTTAGCACTAAACATTGGTAGGAATGTGTGTATGTGTGTGTGTATGCTTGGTCCATTAAATTAAGTTCTATTGCAACGATTATTTTCGCTTACTACACATGTATGTTTTCGGTGAGTATTATTCAAATTTCATTAATGTGACAACATATCATTAGGAAAAAAAAAACTTGATTATTGATCATTTTTCCCATGATCAAAGTCATAAAGTACTTAGCATAATGCACGAAATCGTCTCAAAGACTCACTGTGCTTAATTAACTGCAAAACTTGCCACAAATAATAAATCAAATTCGTTCACTTTTTCCGCATGTTTTTATTTCGTTCTTTCTTCGTTTGTGAAGTCATTAATTAAATTTGAAACTCTTCTTACGCAATCGTTTGACTCTTTTCTCCATTGTACTTGGAATCGGAGGAAAAAAGTAGTCATTATTCTTTGTTTGAGATAGAACAACTCAATTCTTAGCCAAAAGTTCATTTGTTATTCGGCAGCGAATGAGCAATTTGGTGGGTCGACAAAATAAATCGTGCTAGTAAACGACAAGTAGTTTTTTTCCGCAGCCCCAAATGAATTGCTCTGAATCTTTTTGATCCAACACAAAACAAAAATGATTGCTTTTAGTGTAAAAGAAATGAATAAATCTTAAATGATCGTCATCATAATCGTCAAAATGCATTTGAATACGTCGTTTTTCTTCTTAGTTACAATTTCCATTAGTGGAATCTGAAAAAGCGTACACAGCATCTGTTTCTCGGCAAGCGAAACATGAGCATAAAACGTTAAACAGCCAATAAAAAGAAAGTTTACAACTGTACACAACGAATCGAATAATAGTTCTGAAATCTTTTTGAATCGAGAAAATGTGTGTGTGTACGAAAATGTAGTTTATTTTGTTAAAGATAATCTTGAAATATCTGCTGCACAATTCCTACGTGTTTTTCTGCTTGACGTGCAGCAGCAGCAACAACAACGACGACGAAAAAGAACTATGGTGAAAAGTGCATCTTTCGAAGAAAATGTCAATGCAATTTTCCCAGCGAGAAAAAAAAAGTGTGTAAAAAAGATGAGCAAAGAAGATGTAAAAGGAGCACAAAAAGCGAGCATGGCTGAAGAAGTAAAAAGAGAATCCGTCCAACAAACAAGAAGTGAATAATTCAAATTGAGCACAGAGATTGCTTTGTGAGCCTCATGTGACAAGTGGCACAACATACGGGGAAGAAAAAAGTGTGCTTGGCAAAAAAGAATCTTTTGACATTTATTTGGAATATATCGTGTCGTTTTCATCGATTCACATTATTTGGAAATATGCTTTACTTTTACATCTGTTTCTCTTTTTCACTCTTTATTCTCTTCTTTTGGTCTTCGCGTCTTTCTGTTTGCTACTGTGTGGCAGCTGGTGACGGAACATATTCAAATGCGATGAGAATGGATTGTGCTCGAAGCACGCATTTGCTTACAATTCTAATGAATCGTTACCCATTCACTTGTGCAGCAGCATCTTTGGCATTGGAGACGGCGGCGTCACGAGGTAAAATTTGCTTGGCTTTAATGATGCCATTAGACTCGTGTTCTGTTTCCTGCCGTTCTTTGTTCGCCACACAAAGCGATGCAGTCTTCATTTTGAACATCGATCAAACTACTACTGCTGCCGCTGCCGCTGCTGCGGGTGTTGTAAAAGTTATATCGAAAAGAATGTACACCGCCTCGAATTTAAGACGTAGAAGGGTTTGTACACGTTCACAAGGCAATTGACAAATTTTCAAACGCGCGCAAATAGCGTAAAGGGGAGCAAAATTGCGTTCTTTTCGCGTTCGCGCTCGCGTTCGCGTTCGCGCTCGCTGTTAATGCTATTCATCTGAAGCAATTCCATTGAGTGGTTGTAATGAAAATATGCATTAAATATGAGGTTGTTTATTGCCTGGTCGAATATAAAAAAAAACTAACACACACAGCCCGCTGTTAACTGCAGCATGCATAGAAGAGCGTTAATTGCAATTCATACACTTTGTACGGCGCATTTTTATGGATGAATGTTGTGTAAAATTGTGCAAAAAGCCAATGCACTACGAGGGATTTTTCGAAGAAGCGAGAGAGCGAGGAAAAAAGGCTCTGTATTTATCGTCGTCATAGCCCGTGTTCTAGGAATGCTGCGATAGTTTATCACACAGTGAAAAATGAGCGTTATTACTGTGGCACAACGAAGAGCACGAGCCAATGGAAAAAAAATTGAATTTTCATGCAGTTTTCTATAAGTTTCGCTGGAAGAAATCGAAAATATGCATACATATTTACACTACCTGCTCGCCTTAAAAGGTGCTCTGTAGACGAGTGAAAAAGTGTGGAACTTGAGAAATGCAACGCGTTATGCACTAGAATTATTGTATGCAAATTACATAATTTATTCTTGGATTGATGAATGAAACTTTTGCGATACAGCGCAAACAATGCCATGCACCTACGCCGTGCATACAACGAAGAAAGAGAGAGTGTATGTGTTTAAGATTTGGTTGGTATGAAAATGACGTTCGAGCACGTTTTTCAAGTTAAATTAGCCCCAGGTACGAATTAATCAGATTTTCAAAACTACCAATTTAAGTTGCATTCAATTATTTTGCAATAAATTTTCGCGCGGGCATATGCATGTGATACAGGCGTATCAACATCATCACGATTCAACCCCGTATGATGTATATATGCACTTGCACTCGTCGAACTTTCTTATTAAGCTGTTTACTCGCTCGAAGTTCTGAACTCTCGCCGTGTTAAGTTTAAGTTAAAGCGCACGATGCGCACATCTTGAATCGGTGCTGTCATCACTTCGCGTCTTCACATTCTGTGATTTATTTCGGAATGCTGGAATTTCGACGGTATTTTTCTCAGTCGACGAAAAATCGTGACAACTATTCCTTAAATTTGACGACTAAATGCGTGTTTTTTTTCCTCAAAAATACTCATCAACATTTTTTTTGGCAATACAATTTCGTGTTTTGTTTTTTTAAATGTTTAGTTTGAGTTCAAATATGGACTGTGATGTGACTGAAACATTTTTAAGATACGACTTAAATTAATCTTCAATCCAAGATCTTAAATTTCGTGCTGGAATGAGAAGTACGGTAAAAGAAAACGAGGCAATTATCACCTACAGCACAATAAAAACAGAACATAGATTATCGGCAGCAACGACAGTGACAAATTAAAACTCATCAATTTCGTCTGTCAAAATATCGTCGACGATTTGAGTTGCACAATGGCTGTAAAAGGTTCCAAGGTTATGACAACTCGTTCATCACCGAAAATGTTGTAACTTCAAATTTATTCTCCTCCCGTCCAAATGACAATATCAAACTGTGTTAGGTCGTAACATAATTGCGTAAATTGTTTGTTCTGACGAAAATGTTATGTGTTTTTTTTTGTCCGGGTTCAACAAATCACGACTTACGATGTACCAGTTTGATGAAAAAAAAATTGAGTCGGAAATGTGTTTAATTTGCTCTCATTCAATTTGTGTTTGTTTTCGGAAGTTTATTCACTCCAAGTTTTTTGTTCTAATAGAAGAAGATCAGCATAAAAAAGAAGTCGAACGAACTCGATGATAGAAGAAGATTTATTGAAGACTAGACTACTGCATTGTGCAATTCCCTCGTTGGAAAGGTCGTCGAGTTTATCGGCTGTATTCGACCCAACGAGTCGTTGTACACTGTTGCTGAGTGTGTGTGTGTACACAAAGTAAATCATCTGCCTAATCGTTTCACTTACGCATTTCAAAGCAACAATGTATGCATATCGATGAGGAATGGACAATGATTTATGTAAATATTTCACCTTCGGGTCAGAATAAATGATAAAGTGGCCATTGCATTCGGTTTCGAATTGTTGGACTCATTTTGCATTGTTGCGCGCGCTGGTGATTTGAATGTGTCATGGAGTGAATGACAGATGATCAAATATTTACAAGCGATGAATGAAATGAACACATACACAGAGCATATGCATTGGGGGATTGAAATTGTATATGCTGCAAATCCAGGGCACTTTCCCAAACAATGCTACACGTATAGATGTGGTGGAAAAGTTATTTGTCCAAGATTGTTGCACACACACACACAAACACAAAAACCAATTAGAAATTTAATTGAAAACATCTCACGAGGCGTAAGACACACACACACACACACACACTCACAAAGTGAGCTTATGATTTTGAACAAGATCCATATTTTCCCGATTGGCGTATATAAATCTCGAGCGCAACAGTTGTTTCTCCACACGGGCTTTTAATCTTGTTTCACATTTTGGAACGACCGATTGCAAGTGCAATTCATGTTTTGAGCAAAAACTATGACTAAACCAATCTAAATTTATGGCAAATGCGTTCACTTCGATGATGGTACTACGTACACACAACGGTTTTCATTCTAAGTGTGTCGAGGGAGTGAGAGAAAGAAAAAAACCAATTCGGTTGAATATGTGTGTATGTATAGAAAACGGTTTTTGAATTGCACGCTTGCATGCTTGGTGCACTTACCCAACGCATGGCACTGTAAAATTTTCGTACGTCCTTCACTCACTATCGAACCAGACGATGATGGTTGCGTCGTAAATCTTGGCGGTTGAAGCTGTTGTGATGAATCTATAGAATCGAATGGGAAAAAGAGGGAGAGAAAAAAATGACGAAAACAATTAAATTAATTACACGAATGAGTACTAAATAAAGCTACAAAAAAAACAAATCTGTTTGAGAAAAAAAAACACCAACAACATTGGTAAAGAGTGGAAAAAAATGTAACGGTAAATGAGCACGCGGTGCATGAGGTATAACGGCGAGTGTACGTTGCAGTTTAACCGTTTTATCGCTTAGATAATGCCGACGAGTAATCCAATTCGCCAACTGCATCGATGGACATTGGACACAGTCTGTATCTAATTGTATGTAATATGCAGTTTAAACGCTCATGTTTAATTGTCAACACAGTAGCACACCCAACAGCCGAGTCAAGTGTCCCCCTCTTGATTCCATCAATTAAATCACAATATTGGCACATGAAACGTACCAATTTTTTTTCCTCTCTCTTCACAACACGTTTCAATTTCAGCAGTAAAATCGTTTGATGACTATGACTACAATTGGCTTAGCATGAGTCAATTCGTTTTTTTTACGTAACTTAAACCCACAATTTCCTCTATCTATTCGCGCAAGATGATTTACCAGCTAGTTCTATCTCGTCATCATTGATTGTGGTAATCTAAACGGAAAGCAAACAACCATTTTTTCTCTCTTTTCGTTGTAAGCTGTCAGATTGAGTGTTAATTCATCGCTGTGGAAAATCGACACCCGTTTGCAAGACAACATCAATGGTGGTTTTCTTGTTTTTTTTTTTTTGAGAAAGTGTTGAAACTAAACGGCTGTCGGTTGGACCGCATACGACTGTGCAGTGTTATAAAATCCACTGAGATTTTTGTACATTCCGACCAGAAAGTGATTTCCGAAAATCCAATTCAAACCATTCAGTTGACACATATGGGAACACACTATGTCTGTTCTCTCATTCAATTCTATTCTTCTGTTCAACTCTTTTCACCCGTTCGGCTGGCGAAAGAGAGAAAGATCATTGGTATGCATCGCGATTTCTTTACTTGATTTACTGGTTTTCGGTCATTTTTAAGCGGCAATCGTGAAAATCGTATTTGATTTGTACCATCACACACACAGTATGTGGCCCATGTACACACAAACACAAACACACACACAGCACAGCTAAGCACAGTGTGCACGAACTAGCCAGAAAACCTCAAGAGAGACCGGAAATTGGTGATGCTTGAATTCGTTTCAATGCTTTTTGTTCTTGTCGTTTATTTTTGGCTCGGAAAACTTTTACATGTTTGCTTTGGTTTTGTCATTACAAATTCGATCAAATGTTTTCGATTTCGATGCCGAGAGCCTCAAACACATTCGTTTTGCTCGCCAGATCGTTTCTCTCTCTCTATTTTGTTTGCACACTCTCACTCGGTCGATTTGCTTGCAAACATACAAACTTTGCATACATGCCGTTTTACAACTAGCTCCTACTGAGCACAACCAAAATTGAAAATGCCATAAAAACAACAGCGGGCAATTTGTTCAAATATTTGATTTGAAACCACCAAATACACAAAGTTTTCAGGGAAAAACCATTGCTACAGTCAGCCACAAATCCAAAATGAACTCGAATGATTGTTTGCTAAACATTGCAGCATTCCAATGAACTTGCTGTTTTCGGACACACATTTTTGTTCCTGTTTCGAACTCTTGCTTTTCTAAGAATTGGTTTTGACAAACCGATGATGATTTGACGCAACACAACCACACAAAATATGCTCACAAAATTCGTAGAAAATTCGGTGGATGTAATAACTCAAAATCAAATGGTATATTAATTTCAAATGTGCACAGATTTTCTTTCTGCATTAAAATTACATTTATCATTGACACGCCATTTAATCAATGCCTGCAGTACATTTGCAATGGTTAAAATGATGTTAACCATCGATAAATTTCATCGCTTCGATTTCGAAATGTGAATAAATGTTTGAGGCTGATTTGCATTCAAATACCATTGTTTCTAGAGAATTTCTCGCAATGATTTGCATTGCAAATGCAACATTGCACTACATTCACTGGCCGACCACACGATATTGCTTGTTGAATGCTACAGATAGCCAATTCCTTAAAATTAATTTAAACCAACGGAATAGTAAATATTTGATTTTCGAAATGGTTGAATATATACCATGTACGCATGCTGTAAACATGCCAAATATCGGCCGGCAACCATTCATTTGATCGGGCTATAAATAAACGATGATAGCCGTACGGAAATTGGATATCTATATATAGGAATGAGAATCACATTTAAATGCATGTCGATTTGTCGGCAGAGATGAATTTCCGATTCCGTAAGAAGACATTGGACCGACAATGAAAATTGGGAAACATCGTTGTTTTGATGCTTTTGGTGGAAACAATGAAAGCAATCCAATCAAATTAGCGAGATCAAATTACCGATTCAGCGGTAAACCGGCATTTCATTGAGCCACATAGCAGTAACAACAAAAATAGTTGAAATGGCAACAGTAGCAAGAGCAACAACATCCAGCATATGGCATTGAATATCCCACACAAAACAGAAACAAACAATTGCACTTTTTAATTAAAATACAGTTTTCAGTTGGAACTTATTTTGCAAGTTGAATTGCATCCGTCTTTTTCGCAAAAACTTTTGGCAACTAACTAACGCTAATACCCTGGCGGTGAGTTTCTTTTGCAAAAGATGCGCGCGATATTAAAATTTAACTAAGACCAAAAACAAGCCAAAACTTACGAAAACCACAAATGAATTTATTTCGTTTCTTTTCTTTCTTCTTTTTTTTCCCGTAATAAAACCGAATAAATTTCATTCGTTAGTGTTTACATTTTGCATGAACAAAAGTAGAAGGTAAGCAATGGGAAATGTGTTGCGTTGTTAGTGTAACTTTGCAAATGATTTTAACAGATTGTGTTAAGTTTTGGTCGTTTGGTTTTCTTGCAACAAACAGAAACACACACACACACAATGCTCATAACGCCAAGTGTGTGTGCAGCCAAGAAGCTTGATGCGGTGTAAATAAAGATGATCATAATATAATAAACGTTAAGAAACTGCATCAAGATTATGAGGCGAATGGTGAATGCATTACTTTGTTGTTTGTTTTATCAACTGGGCACAACAATCTGGCACACGACAATGTGCGCGTACGTTGTACAAATATTCTTTCATTTTACGCTTTCGCATGAATTCTATTCAGTTCTAACTCGAATGTTTCATGTGGGAATTTCACTTTGCGCTGGTTATTCATTCATCATTATTAGGTGTAACAGTTGTCGAGCGGTCTCTATTGTCGTTTTTCTAATGAAATTGCCTTAGAAATGCCACAATCTATAGCCAATGCATTGTAGTCCTAATGGGTGATTAAGTAATAGCGATTCGAGCACGTTCTCTCGCACACAACACCCAAATGACTTCGGTCAACTGGTGATAATTATTTTGCAATTTTACTCAAACCAAAGAATAGACGCAAAAGCAAACAACAAAAGTTTCATTGTATTTTCAAATGTAGCGCTATTCATCTTTATTCTGTGTGGTAAACAGAACGCTAGAACAATCGACAAGCATAAGAACAATAAATTCAATAGTTTGAAATCACTTTGGTGCGATTTCATAAATCTCTCTCTCTCTCTCTCGCTCCCTCTCTCTCTCTCTGGTATGTATACCATATACAGTTTACACTTGCGTTGCAACATCTATTTAAATTAATCGAGTTAAATATTGGCGTATAATAAAATCCAAGTTTTTCAAGTTAAAAGCGTTTGCGCTTCAAGCGTAAACAATGGGATAGGTGTTAAAATGCAGCATCCATGACATATGTTTATGTTTTCGGTGAGGTTGTCGGGGTATATATTGAATTTACATCCCGTGTTTTAACATGTAATTTTCGAATTACAAGCACATATTTAGCTTCCATTATTCCGGAATTGGATATGACACATGTGATTTCGGTTTCCGATATCATTCTTCACATCGTTCGCACCGCACAGAGAGCACGTACAGCGTACACACTACACATACTGCCACTGATTTCAATCGAATCAAGCTAGTTTAAATGATTTGAAAGCACTTCCATTTTCTAACTAATTATTGTATTGTTCAATAAATAAAAGATCGAATTGAACGATGACGACGACGACGAGCGAACACTTGGTGAAACTGAAAACTTTTGCCGAACTCCCGTTCATTGGAATATGTATTAAATTTTCCAGTATTCAATATTGATTATAATCATTTTGTGTATAAAATATAACTTATCCAATTAAAAGGCGCAACATGCACATCGGGATGACATCTTTGCCTGAATCTGATGCACGATAATTAAATTATAATTATGTTCATGTCAAAACGACGCAATTTATTGGGAAATGAATCGAAAACCGCACGAAAAGTTTAACACACTCACACATGCATACAGCAACTGCATTATTTTAATCTATTTACATGGATGAGTCCAATCGGTCCGAGCGAACGAACGAGAGCATGGTTCACGAAAACATGTTCCCAGCACGAAAATGGCATCATTTGGGGTTTTCCGATAAAACCACAAATGCCATCGAATTGTTTAAATAAAAGTCAATGTAATTATAAAAATCGACATGTGCCGACGCATTCGACCAAGGGAATAGGCACGAAATCGAAACTCGACCGAAAAGTCATCCATAATCAAATGAAGCGGTAACACAAAATAAAAAAAGCATTACCAGCAAATGAACACTGTCGATTGGTTTCGGTCGTCGTTCAATAATCACTTTATCCCTGCGGTTCAATTACTATTTTATTTGCTTTGCCCGAATCAAATAGAAGGAGTCTCAAACGCGCACTCACTCACCAGAGACATTGGCCGTTGTTGGGTGCTAACTGTCAAACTCATATCAAAACGTCGTTTAACCGCCTATTGTATAACAATCAATTTAGTTTTTGACATGAATAATAGATACACTTGGTTACAGTTTTTCTTTCCTCCGGTTTGCGCTCCCTTCGCGAGCGACAGAGATCGACGCGAATG